CTTCTCGGCCACGGCCTTCGGGACCACGCACTGGTGCGAGGGGACGCAGCGGGTGCCCAAGCCCACCTGCGGGCCCCACAAGCGCACCAACTGCCTCGACTACGGCTACGAGGACGCCGACGACGCCGGCAACCGGACGGCGGGCAACGGCACCCGCCCGCCCGGGGCCCCCTCCAACGTGGTCCACTACAGCTGGGAGACGGGCGACGACCGCTTCCTCTTCCGCTACTTCCACGCCGGCATCTGGTACTCGTGCGAGGAGAACATCAACACCCCCGGTGAGTGGCCGCCCCCCCGAGGGGGGCTCATGCCTCCCTCCCTCCTTCGCGGGCCTCGCCGTCGGGGAAGCGGCAGCCGCCGGCCTCGGGTCGCGGGCCCTCCGGCGCCCCCCCCCCATACATACAACAGGGCTCCTGGGGAATAAGGCTGGGAAAGGTCGGTCCAGCCCGGAGAGGGGGCGGCCCGGAAAAGAAGTGGCCCGAAAGCGCCTCCCCGCCCCTTGCCTGCCGGCGTGCGGGGCCCCATCCACCGGGGAAGGAGCCCGGCTCCCGCTGAGCGCGGGGGGGGGCTTCCTCCTCCAAGGGGCGCCGCTTCCGCGCACTGCCTCTCCCCCCCCCATCCCCAGCAACAGCCTGCCCGCGCCGGGTCCCTTCTCCCAAGCGCCGCCGCAGCTGGCGTTGCTGTGGAAACGGATGGCGGCCGGCTTTTGCTGTGTCACCCCGGAGTTGCCCGGGGTGGGCGAGTGGGTGGATGGCGAGGGCCGCCTCGGCCGCCACCCGAAGAGTCGCCGGACAGCCTCCCGACGCTTCCCGAAGGGCTGGGGGAGAAGAGAAGGCGCTCCCGTGCACGCGCCCGGGCGCCCTGGAGGGCTGCGGGAACGGCGAGGGGAGCCCCCTCCGCCAGAGGCTCCGTGAGATTTGCCCCCCTTCGAGGAGAAGGCGGGGGGGGTTAGGCCCCCTTGCCTCCAGGCAGCCCACTCCCGCTGCCCCCTTGCGCGTCTTTCCAGCCACTCTCTTGGGCCTCTCGGCTGCCCAGATCCTGCCAGTCCAAAGCTGCTGGGGTTGGCGGCCTCACCGGCCCTCCAAGCCCTGGTGCTTTGGGTGGAGCCCCTCTTGGCCTGCC